AGTAGACTGGATGGTGACCCTGACTGCCCTAGCAGAGACCAGCCCATTTTTACCTAATTGCCTGGATAAAGCGCTTTCATTGGAGGATACAGAGGGAGGTACTGGATAGAGAGGGAGTGGCCTCACGCGCCTGTCAGGCTACATGAACCTTTCCAAAGGCAACAACACTTCAAGAAAATCTGCCAAAACAATGTGGAGGTCAGAATAAAGATAAGGAGGGTGGAGTAGAACCTCAGGGAGTGAGGAGGAGGACAGAGAAACAAGAGGAAGAGGGAAAGGAGAAAACAGGAAGGGAAAGGAGAGTCATGGGCTTATTTTTATTTATCAAATACTAATACAGCACTTACTATTTGTCAGGTACTGTCCTAAGCACTTTACAAATCCTTACTCACTCAATCTTCATTATTAGCCTCATTTTACAGAAAAAGGAAGTGAAGCATGGAAAGAGTCAATGATCGAAGGGTATATGGCCAGGGTGTGGCAGGGCCCGGACTTGAACCCAAGCAGCCATGTACCCGTCCACACGCTTAAACATCCCCCATCAGGAAAGTCTTAGCCCTGTTGTAATATGAATGTATGGCCCAAGGGTGTTAATATTCTGTGAAACAGCCCTAAAAATACTCAACAGTTACTTAAGGAATGTTGATAGCTCTTCAACAACTATCTATTCTTAAAATATCAGATATTTCCTTATAAATGAATACAAAGCAGGGAAAAGAATGAAGGGGATAATTTTCCTTCAGGCTATAGAAGAAAAATAGTAGCCCATGGACCAACTGAACGCAAAGAAAGAGCCAAGATTTGGCCAATATGCCCAAAAGTTCCCATATGCCAGCATTATATTCTCAGTGTCACCAAGGTCTGGGAGGAATAGGAAGTTTAGGTGAGATATTAACAGAAAACCAGCTTTGGGTACAAATGTTGTTATACTAAACATGAAGGCTGGTCAAACATGCCACCAGAATAACTGGCTTGAGATGGAATCACGAACCGGCAGCCACATGAATTCTAGGCCCTCCTGACCCTCAGGTCCTGTTTCCAGTCTCCTTCTCCATTACAGGGAATTCTGTCTCAGAGCTCCCTCCTATCCCTCTTTGCAATTTAACTTCTTAGCTCCCCGCCCCAACCCAGTCCTCTGGAACAGTCCACCCCAGCTGTGGGTCTGGTCTGACGTGTATTCTCTTGATAGGCTGCTCTGCTCCATGTAAGTCTACCTTAACAGTCTCAGCTCCAGGCCACTACTCCCTACTAGGAAGAGTGTGAATCATGTCGATGGGAAAGCTGAGGTGGTCAAACCAGTTCTTCCCTTGAAGAACTTTCATAAATGCGTACCATGCTCTCAGTCCAGAATGGTTTAGGGGCAGGAATGGCCTGGGCAATCCTCTTGTTAGGATCCAGATCATTCCATCCTATTGTGAGCCAGATGCCAAAGAAATCTGGCCCAAGACAACACTGATTTTCTGAGTTCCCACTCTGTTCTATCTAGCTGTGGGCTTTCCTTCCTCTGTTCCTCTCTGACCCTGCTTTTAAAAACCCTCCCCCTGCTCCTGCCTTTGTTCCCTGACTGAGTGCCCTTCTGGTTAGGGTGTTCTTTGTGTCTTGATGGTGTGCCTCGTGTTACTCTCATCTTCCTTGGGTCAGGAATGATGTTTCTTTGTGCTTCAAAAGCACAGTGGAGAAAAATCCTCTGATGCACATTGAACTGTGCGTCACGAAGTTATCTTTGAAGTCCTGCTACCAATACAGAAAAGTGCCCACATAAAGATAAATAACAATCTGGGCTTCAGCTATCAGCTGCTGTCAGCTTACTGGGAGTATTATAAAGTCTGTCTACAAATAAATAGCATGTTTGGAGCTAGGTTGCTTTATTATGGAGGAAGAAAGGCCACTGTGGAAACTAACAAAGGTCTAATCAGAGGACAGAGTCTCAAGAGAGACCCCCCTGTTTTAGTCGGGACCACTGTCCTCTGAGGCAGGTAAGGGCGAGTGGGAATTGTTCCCACTGTGTTCCCTCTCAGAATTCTTCCCCTCCTGCTCTGCTGCCCAATTTGTTGTGCAGATTTGTCTGCAGGAGGCAGCAGAAGAAGCATGGATGGGCTTCTCCCCAGATAAAGACAAAGAGGCCAAAGGCAGGGGTCAGGACGGGAGTCTTTCCAGAGCAGCTACAGTGCAGGGAGCCACAGGGTGAGCCAAGTGGTCTTCCATTCCTTCATGAGACTGTGTGTTTCTCCAGAGCAGGACCATTTCAGCACCGAGGGAAGGCTAACTGTTGAAAAACAAAACTGACTGCCCCCCCCTCCAGGCCTGCAAGTTGACCTGCAACGGGTCGACTTGCTGGGATCAGGCTCTGAGAATTACTGAAACATGTGCATGACGTTCTGTTGTTTGCTCCACTTTGTTGTGAGCCAGAAAGGGCACAGGAAAGCATATGAGGGCCTGAGGGTTCCTACCTGGGTTGAGGAGAATCTGTTGCTCTTGTTCTTGAAGGGAAAAGCCACAATGGTTGACATGAATCCAATAATGCTACCCCAAAAAAGCCTCATTTGCAGCTAATGATTGAGTAACAGTATCACCAGGGGCTGCTGCAGGGCCAAATGAAGCTTTGATAGCATCCTCGCAAATCATTTGGTTGCTACTGTGAGTTCCCAGAAACTGGAAACAAGAAGATGTTGCCATCTGCGTTGAGAATTTTTTAAATAGCTCTATTTATATTGTTCTTATAATGAAAAGGGAATGTTTTGCATTTCCCAGAAATTGCTGCATATATCCTCTTAATACCCAATGAGGCAAATGGGATGAAAATTGGGACATTATGATCCAGGGTAATCTACTGAAAATGCAGTCTCTTTGAAGAATGCCCAGTCTGTCTGCTCTAGTCCATGCGTCCCAGCTCCTACGGCATATGGCTATCCTGACGGGGCCAAAGAGCAGGCTGCCTAAAGCAAATAATGGCTTCCCTTTGTCACAGGGAGGAAATAAGCTAATGAGCATAATTTTCTCAAGTGTAAACTTTATTCCCATAAATGTTACTTACATATTGCCTACTACCAGTTTCTACTGGCCAAGACTCAGAATCAACTAAAAACAAATGGCCAAGTAGCACCAAATATTTGCAGAAAAAGGATGTTTGGTTACAGCAACTCAAGTCAACCTGCTGAATCAATCAGAAAAAGGAAGATGCTGTATATGAATCTAGGGGTGTCTCGTGGACCATGTGTGCAGAGTGGAGCTGGACCTCAGAGAGGGTAGGACACTATAGAACCTCTTTCTATACAACTTCATCCTTCTTTCTCTCTTTTTAACTGGCTTGTTTTGCTACTAAGTCTACACAGTGGAAGGGAGCTGCCCAGATCCCTGAAGGTTACATGTTAACTCCTCAGTAAATTAAAAGACTGCCTCTCTCGATCACAGTCTCAAGTAGCCTGGGCATATACCCTGAGAAAACCATAATTCAAAATTATGTGGAGACATGTACCACAATGTTCATTGCAGCACTATTTACAATAGCCAGGACATGGAAGCAACCTAAATGTCCATCAACAGATGAATGGCTAAAGAAGATGTGGCACATATATACAATGGAATATTACTCAGCCATAAAAAGGAATGAAATTGAGTTATTTGTAGTGAGGTGGATGGACCTAGAGTCTGTCATACAGAGTGAAGTAAGACAGAGAAAAAAACAAATACCATATGCTAATGCACATATATGGAATTTAAAAAAAAAATGGTACTGATGAACCTAGTGGCAGGGCAGGAATAAAGATACAGACATAGAGAATGGACTTAAGGACACGCGGGGATGGGGAAGCTGGGGCGAAGTGAGAGTAGCACTGACATATATACACTACCAAATGTAAAATAGATAGCTAGTGGGAAGCAACCGCATAGCACAGGGAGATCAGCTCAGTGCTTTGGGACAACCTAGAGGGGTGCGATAGGGAGGGTGGGAGGGAGGCTCAAGAGGGAGGGAATATGGGGATATATGTATGCATATGGCTGATTTACTCTGTTGTACAACAGAAACTAACACAACATTGTGAAGCAATTACACTCCAATAAAGATGTATAAAAATAAATAAATAAAAAGAGGAATAAAAAACAAAAATAGCCAGCTGAGAAAACCTAATGGACCCAGTTTAAGTCTGGGTTCCAACCCTAGTCCAACATATATCAAGAAGGGTGAGGTCAACAATACAAAATGTCCACAAAAGGCCCACCTTGTAACCTGGCATGAGGGCAAGGCAGATCCAAGAGAGGGAGGTGGCAGTGAGAAGCTACTGCATGGGGATACGATGTGTCAGCGCTCCAGCATGCTACAATAAGCAACCGGGATGCAAGCCAAATACCACTGAAATCCAGTGCGGAAATACTGAGGAGTTTTAACATGTCCTCTGGAAACTCCACTGCAAGAACTTTACCTTAGACAACAGAGGAAAAGAGAGAGGAACTTTTCTACAATATCTCATTTAACTCTACAAGACAATGTGACAGGCTCTGTTTTGCAGAGGACAGCATTGAGGCTCAGAGAGGTGAAGTAGCTGGCCCAAGGCCACCTGCCTAGTAAATGGTAGAGCAAAATTCAAACGCATGTCGATTCTAAAATCCCATTCACGCTCCATCCATTCCAATATGTTGACTCCCAGATGAACTCTGCCCAGAGATAAGTCTCCTCGGATTGGAGACAAGCATCTACCCAGAAGCTGACTGTCATTTTCTGTGCCTGAGACTTCTCAAGGCCCTCAGCTTACCAAGCCCTGATGCAGCCAGTCCTATGAGGACCAGTCCTATGAGGGCTTATAGCACAGAGACCCCCAGCATCCCCAAGTCAGAAGGGCCCAGCAGGTACCTGACCTAGCTGCTCTGGCTCGAACACCCAGGCCACCCTCCCCAGGGGAACATGTCAGCCCTGAGCTACTCATAGGTCATATACTGTTCAAGTGCTACTGATGCCATTTTCCTGTTTGCATTTTGTTTCTGTTTTTGTTTTGTTTTTACAGTTCGTTGCTCATCCTAACTGTCAACAGCAATTGCTTACCATGTGGTATGAAAATCTCTCAGGCTTACGTCAACAGTCTATCGCTGTGAAATTCCTGGCTGTCTTTGGAGTCTCCCTAGGCCTCCCTTTTCTCGCCATAGCCTATTGGATTGCTCCGTGCAGCAAGGTACAGACTGCTTAAGGTGCATGTCTTTGCGGTTATTTCTTCTCTCTACTTAGCATAACCTAAAGTCCATTTTGTCCAAACATGCAGCTGACCATTTCCCACATTTAAAGAAAATAGCCCTGAGAGACCCAACAAAAGTAGAAAACCACTTAAGAGGGAAAATGCTAAGATTTGCTTTTTAAAATCATTTTCTTAAAAGACAGAGGAGTGATAAAATGGAAACTTTTATACACACAAGGCATAATCTGATCAATAACGGAATAAAGGGGGAATAAAGGCACTTTTCCTTTTCTGATTATGCAATGTCCTAAACATGGCCTCCAAACCCACAGTAGTAATAATTATAACAATGATAATAGGAAGAGCCAACATTTATTGAGTACTTTCTTTTCGCTAAGCCCTTTTCATGCAACACGTCATTTCACTCTCTCAATTACATTATGATGCACACACTTTCTAAGCAGGTTCAGAAAGGAGAAACAACTAGGAGCTGAGAGTCAAAGGCTTCTCATACTGGGGCACTGCAGACCCATCTCAACATCTTCCTGGTTTCCTGACTACCTTGTCTGGGTTCTGGCCCACATGGGCAGCTAAGTAGGTCACTAGAAGGAAAAAAGACAAAGCAAAAAGGAGGAGAGCTGGAAAGGTGCAAAGCTGGGTTCTTTTCTCACAGGAAGAGGGAGTGTCTGGTGCCCGCCTGTAATGGAAGGAGTGGAATCTGCAAGAGCCAAGCTGCTCCCCCTCCTGTTCCACCCTCCCTACAGCCCATCTGACCCAAAGCCACAAAAGGCATCAGCAGTCACTCCAGCTTCAGGCAAGAGCTAGCGCCTATAAAAACAAATCATGTCGAAATTCGGAAATATATTTCGTAGGTTAAGTGGTCATTAAAGTTTCCAAAGCTGCATTTACTTTGTGATATAGTAAAAAAAAAAGCAATTAAGCTTAGGTAATCAACATTCAGTAGAAGAAATATGACTACAGGGAGATTAGTTCCACAGGGAATTTGATCATCTAAGGCAGTTAATAAAAGTGTCATCAGTGAATGGATCCTCTTGTCAACTCCACCAAGACAAAACTCATGCCAGGACGATGGGCCCAAGACTTCAGATCTGCTAACGAGGCCACCTAACCAGGCAGGCAAGGAACTGACTGCCTTAGAGTAGAAGGGGTGTCAGAGAAAGAAATTAGGACCCAAACTCCTTCTTCTGTAGGATAGTGTTAAAAATAAAAGTCCTCATACTGAATATTTGTGGTGTTCAACCTCATATCTATTGAGGATTTTGTTTCTATGGCACTCTACCATGACACAGATTTCTAAATCGGTATTCCCCAAATGATACATATGTAGGGTAAGGCTATTTTTTTCTGTCCTTTATCATGAGCTGGAAAAAGCACAGTGAGTGAAAAAAGACTAACCAGATTGAAAACTGGATTAGCGCTGGTCATTTGTTTTAGGCACTTGTTTTCATAGTAGTATTATCTAGTCTGTACTGCAAGTTAGATCATTGCCTTCATCCAGAGATGGACAGGGATGCTGCCTCCACACTCTCTAAGCCACAAACTGATTCTAGGGCATCAATCATTAAAATAACAGGCAAACACTGCCAATCCTCACTTTTGCTGTAAAACTAAATGTGACAGCTTCCAGGGAACTGGGACTAAGCAACACCAGCAAATTGGTTTGCCTCTACCTGCCTGGGGAAATATTCAGAAAGAGATGATATGCCAGCTGCTGACTAAATTTTTTAGATTTTCAGTAGGTCTGAGAAGAATCTTGGCCAATATCATGCAGATGTGATACAAAAAGAAGGATGTGTGGATGGGGGAGGAATCCCGGACTTTCTGGGGACCCAGTAAATTCAAGAGACTGATGCCACCATGGAACGTAGGGGTGAGACCTATGGTGTCTTCTGGAATATTCTAGAAGTAATGATTGCAGGAAAGTTTGGCCCCATGGCTGCTGCTTCCTCTCCTCTGTTCAGAGACTATTCTGACTGACATTTTGTGTCCCTGGAATGTCCAGTAGGACAAAAAAACAGCTTGTACACTAAGCCCTTGCTTGCGGCCACTGGCAGCTGGTGGCAAGAGAGGGTGGCATTTGATGAGGAAGACAGGAAGTTCAGACTGGGGAGAGGTGCTGGAAACTCTCTGGGTGCTCTACTGCAGTCATGGCCTACCTTGTGGGCAACTGGCTACCAGGTCCCAGTTAGGTGCTTACACTTGTGGGCTAAGAGCCCAGTGCCACAGAACACAGAGGTGTGTCAACAAGTAAAAGCAGGTGTCCACCCTGAGGGCTTGAGAATGCAGTTCATTTGGAGCTAATTCAGGAGCACTACTCAGTTATCTCACATTCACCTATTTCCCAGAGTAAAAGAATAGTACCCAGGAAGTCTGGGCTTGAGCCAGAGACTGAGTACAGCAAGCCTGGATTTCCCGATATGTTCTCAGCTCTTAAGGGCCAAGTAATGACAGAGCTGCTTTAGCCCATGTTTCAGACTCACCAGTTTTGCTCTTCAGGCAGAGGAGGACAAGACCTATGTCTCCCAAAGCTCTACCATCTCTTTTTATACCTAACGCTGTTACCTGACTCAGCGTTAATGATTCCCCAGCTAAGAGCTGCTGGTATATATTGGTTGACTTTTCTCCTTTCTTTTGGTTCACTTGGTGGCCTTGTGAAAGGAGGAAGTTTACCCCAAGCATAATTTGCTTCAAAAAATTGAGATAAATATGGAATGTCACAAAAAAAAAGGAAAAGGAAATCCCTGAAATGATTTGATCTCATCTGACATTTATCAAAGTTTTACCAGTTAAAAAGATGCTTTCAAGCCCAGAAGAAAAATAGGAAAGGTGCATCAATTCCTAACCTCGTTTTTCCTCCCTATGGCTTAAATCAAGTGGGACTGAGCCCAGGTTAACCTTCTACATCACTGCAGGGCCTTATCAGGGTTTTTTCTTATCGTCTGCAATAAATACAATAATTTTTACATATGCATCTTCTGCCGGAAGATAACAACTTGAAGGAGGGAACAAAGAGAACATTAAATTCCTCAAAGCAGCTCTTACGGGGAATCCCAGGGCCAGCATGGGCACAGCTGCGTGCAGATTCCTGACATCAGGTGCCTTGCCTAGATGAGAAGATGGAGAGGTGTCCCCAGGTCCTCATCCAGGTAGTCATTGGAAGATGCTACATAGAGCCCATTGATAAAGGGCTGGGGAAACTTGGCCATCAATCCCTTAAGAGCTGTGACTACCTCCGTGTTCTCCACCTTTTTCTGACATTTCTGGGACCCTGCTGGGACACACAGATCTGGTATCCCTTGCCCTCTCCTCAACCTTTCCTCTCCCCACTCTGCAGTCATTCTCCAACTTACCTCGCCTCTCACCACTACCTCAGCTAGGACACAGTGACAAGAAACAATGCAATGACTATCTAAGGATGTCGTCTGTATACACCAAAGTATCCCAGCATCTTGGCTGGGAATTGGGGCTCCAAGATGCCAACACAGTCAGATAAAATGTGGAAAAATTCAAAGTATGTATTTGACATCACATAGGTCAATATGAGACATCGTTTGATTCCGTTTTTTTGTTTTTTTTTACTGAATTTATGTAAGGTATTTTATTTGTCCTTATATTTAATCTCTACATTCTGAATTTAGTACATCTACCTATGGCTAAAAATAATCTACAGTCCCTATTTTGTAAATAATAAGGTTAAACACTACTAAGAAATGTCATTTGTAAGATGTTTGTGGGCCCCTTAGTTTTCAGGTAAACATCTTTTTCAACACTTCTGAAGTTATTCTAGTGCCATATGACAATTTGACAATGCAGGTGAATCCGAACAAGTTCTTTCCAGCACAAATAGGGATTTCCAACGCTCAGACTTGAAACGCAGTCTTTTTTAAAAAAAAGATTAAAATTATCTTTTTAAATTTCAACAGATGGGTTCTATGACATTAGAGCGTTACAATAATTACTGGCACCATTAACGTGGATGATTAGCATACTGAAGCCTACTGAAAGAACATCATCAAGCCATCTGATTTATAAATGTTATGTTGAACATAATGACAGTTAGGGAAATTTTACCAGGAGAAAATCCTATAGCTGATCTTTTGCTGAACCAATACTCCGCATGCTGGGTAACATTTCACTCTAGGACTCCTGAATGAGGCAGAACATGAACATCAATTAACTAGTCACTGGCTATAACTGAACATTTGCCCTGGAGAAGGAACTGAGATCCAGGAAAGACTCCCCTCTTTGCTCTTGTCTTATCAGTATACCTGGTGAGGGGTTAGAGTTGGTGTTTAGGTGAGGGTGACAGCAGTGACCTGGAAGAGACCCAAGTGAATTCATTTACAGGGGTCAGCAAAGACTGACTGTGCAGCCCCCAATTTAGTCCTCAAAAGTCCAAGTGGCCTTTGGATGGCAAGCCAGGGATAAGAAGATGTGACCAATACCTACTCCCTAAAAGGGCATCTTTTGGATCACTTCAGGCTCACGTGGAACAACTGCACAAGTTAATCATGTACTAGGCCACAAAGAAAATCTCAATAGTTTTAGGGTAGTATCACAGAGGCTATGATCTGAACACACGCTGCAATAAAAACAGGATTTTTTAAAGCAAGGGGGGAAAAGTCCTGTATATCTGGAAACTAAATAACCTCTGAGTTAAAAATGAAATCAAATGGGAAATTATAAAAATATTTATAACTGAGTATCAAGGAAAATGCTACATGTCAAAATTTATAGGAACATAGCTAAAGCAGTACCTAGTGGGAAATGCATACCTTTAAATAAATTTACCAAGATATAAGAAATGTGGAAAATAAGTCATCTAAGCTAAAACTCAAGAAAATAGACAGAAGAGCAACAGAGCATATCCAAAGTGTTTTTTTAAAAAATTCTGAACTCTATTGAAACAGATTTTTTTTCTAGATTCATAAGGCATAAAATTCATATCCACATGGTTGGGGGTAGCTGTGCAGTCAGATTGTAAAATGATGTTGTAAAATGATGTCATATTAGTGTGTTCTACTCCTTTCTCTTACCACTCCCATTAAGTCTTCTAAACAGAAAAAATTAAAGTGAGTAGAAAAATGGATTTGGTCAAGCAGCCTCTTACATAAAAGCTCTACAGAAAATGTCTGGGTTCAATTAGCAGCTTCTGTCCAAAACTGAGGATTCTCTGGTTCAACTTTCAGCAAAAGCCTTTTAAAGAGAGCCCTGAACTTGCCTGGAGCTGCCAGATTAACATGTCTTGTATATATTTTGTTTCCAGCTAGGACGAACCCTGAGGAGCCCTTTCATGAAATTTGTAGCACATGCAGTTTCTTTTACAATCTTCTTGGGATTGTTAGTTGTGAACGCATCAGACCGCTTCGAAGGTGTTAAAACCCTGCCCAATGAAACCTTCACAGACTACCCAAAACAGATCTTCAGAGTGAAAACTACACAATTCTCCTGGACAGAAATGCTCATCATGAAGTGGGTCTTGGGTAAGCAAGTCACTCTTTTAATGTCTCCTCCCCTAATTATAACAGGACATTATTAAACCCTGACTTCAGAAGCTCTTCCTCTCCTCTTGAATGCACTCTTGGCAGACAAAATGGTGAGGAGATGACCAGCAAGGAAGCCAAAGTCAACTTCTGTATGTGCTGGTGTAAAAGATGCACACACCTGTAATATAAATCCCGATTTTGAAAGCAGGTGTTTGGGGGAGATTCGTTCTGTACCTTTCCTTATGTGTGTACTGAAAGTGACTGTGAAGCGTGTGTGTGGGGGGACATATGGTTTTGCTCATTTAAATACAGTCTACTAGAAGCCTTAGGAAATCAAGTTCTGCCTCTGAAAAAAGGTATAAGATTGCATAGCTTCCAAGATATTTTTTGTTACCACTGAATACTGATACATAGTAGAATAGTAATAATACAAATCTAAAAAGTTAGGGGAGTAACGTGTTCTCATTATTTGTGTTAGTGAACGTAATGAAGCTGTGGAATTCCTCTTTGTGGTGCTATTTTGTGCTGCCAAGGTCTGCCACTGGAATTGCCAAGGAAATCCTTCCAAATTACCTCACTGACTAGTCAAGAAAGGCTATCTCTCTTTTGCCTAACTCACAAGAACTATTACTAGTAGAAATAAGCAAGATAAGATAAAACTGGCAATGGCTAAAATTGTACATGGCCAACTGTGTTACAGATTTTTCTAACACTGAAAACTGCAAAATTTATTGGTAAAAAAATCAGATTTCGTAGGAAACAATAAAAAACTGCAAAAACTATAATCAGTGATATTGTAAATAACCAAAACTTGATCAATAAATTATAAGATTTACATCAAAAAGATCTGAATTTGATGGGAATGTTTTGAGTAAAACAAAACTGAAAATAAAAAAGGCAAAAAATATATGCAGTATCAAGATTTTATCAATTAATTAAACTGTCCTAATGGTATTTGCCCCCAATTGCTTTTCTTAACAAAAATTCAACATTGGCATAATATTCATTATGTTTATGTTCACAAACATTGAGTCAAAATGTATTCAGGGTCAAAGTGTCTGTACTTTCAATCAACAAATTCACAAAAGAACAAATACCTGAAAAGACAGCCCAGTACATGCCCCGTGCTAATTAAATGATATTGCCTAAGAGAGCCACGAGAGTTGAACCATTGGAGAATATCCCATAGATCCCCAAACTGAGAACAACTGCGAGTATGGTCTCTAACCTGGATCTCTCAATAGGCAGAAGGTAATGAGGAGAAGAATGGTTTGACCCAAAGGGCAGAGACAGGAAAGCACACCATGCTTCCCAGGTGCTTTTTTAATCAACCGGCAAGTCTGTAGCCAAAGGTTCATTTTGTAGAGTCACTGGTACTCAAGTTGGAAAGGAAGATTAAAGCCTGTTGCAGAGTAAGTTCTGTGGCTTCACTTTCACAGTTGAGTCTATCCCAATTCTCCCTAGTATACCGGCCCCACCTTCAATTTAACTAAATTAAGCACTTTAACACTAGGAACTTTACAATGGACTCAATGTTTATATCCCCCAAAATTCATATGTTAAGACCCTAGTTCCAATGTCATGGTATTAGAAGTGGGGCCTCTGGGAGGTGCTTAGGTCATGAGGGTGGAGCCCTCATGAATAGGATTACTGCCCTTTAAAAGATATCCCAGAGAGCTCTCTCACCCTCCCTGTGCCATGTGAGGACACAACAAGCAGTCTGCAACCTGAAAGAGGGCTCACACCAGAACCCAAACATGCTGGCACCTGATCTTAGACTTAGAGCCTCCAGAACTGTGAGAAACAAATTTCTGTTGTGTATAAACCACTCAATCTGTGTAACTTTGTTATAGCAACTCAAACTATGACACGGTTAAAAAAAAAAACAACAACTCACATGTTGGGTTTATGGATAAAACAAAGTATTTATGGCACCAATCGCTCACCCATCACATTTCCCCACCTGGGCTGCAAACAGAAGACAGGTGAGTCCAAGCATACTCCCCATTCAGTGGGTGCTACCATATGTTGACCACGGTACTCCTACTGACCCACGACTTCTTTCTGCACCCTCATATTTCTCTTCCTGGGTGTCAGAGTATTACCCCAATAAGAGGGAAGCATCTCTAGCTACAGAGGTCCCAGCTTTTGTAGTCTGGTCCCAGCTTCTACCCATCAAAGCAAAGCTGAGTTTTCAAGACCATTACGTAAGAAGTATTGTAAAGGGGAAGACTTATTTTTCATTGACCTACTTCCTGTTACATTTTAGACAGAAGAAAGATTCTAACTACTTTTTCTTACTAGATTATATTTTTCAAACTTTTATGATGAATAATTTTAAGAAGTGCAAATTTCGAGAGAAGATTATACTGAACCCTTTGGACCTATCGCTCATCTTCAACAATTAGCAAATCAAAGCTAATTTTTGTTTCATCCTACTTCCCTTCTCTCAACCCTGTAGAATTTTGAATCCAATCCCAGGTATCATAAAATTTCATCTACAAACATTTTTCTGTGTATCCTAAAAGATAATTTTCCTTTTACTTTTCTCTCATCTTTCTGTGCTGCAAGTTCACTGACATTTTTTCTCCATTATCTGTGACTTTAATGCCCAACCACTGAATTTTTCATTTCAAATATTATATTTTTCAACCCTTTAAGTTCCACTTGGTTCTCTTTTACATCTTTCATTTCCTTCCTCGTGATGTCTGTATTTTCCTTTAAATCCTTGAACATAATGTACATATTTATAGTAAGAACTGTTATAAAGTCCGTAACTCCTAATTTCATCATCTCTATCATTTCTGGGTTACTGACTAAATTTTCTCGTGACATGGATCATATTTTCCTACATCTTGGTGTGTTAGTAATTTTTGATTGAATGATGGGCACATTACATGTTATACTGGTGAGCATCTAGATTTTGTTGTCTTCCTTTAAAAAGTTTTTTTGCTTTATTCTGACAGGCTGTTAAATTCTTACAGATGAGTTTGGTCCTTTTCAAACTTTCTTAGAGTGGACCTGGAAAAACTTTACCATAAGAATTGATTATCCTTGTACTATAGAGACACACATCTGGGTCTCTACTAAATGCTCAGGGTAATCAACAAGGATTCTCAACTGTGGATGGTCACAGCTCAAACATCTTTCCACTCTGGGTGAGCTCTAGAAACTGTTCAGCTTGCAGCTCTCTTGCCGTTGTTTGTGGCGTTTTACTCTATGCATTCATGACTTAGCATTCAGGGAACATTCAAAAGGACACCTGTGTACATTTCTGGACTATTTTTGTTTGTGTTTGGTTTTGGGTTTTGGTTCTGTATAGTACCTTTCTCTCTGGAACTCTGCCATATAACATCTAATCACTTCAGCCTTCCTGAACTCTAATCTCTGTGTCTTCAACTCATTGGGATCGCCTTCTGTGCTTCTGGAATCCTTCTCCATACCCTGCAGACTGAAATGTGCTTCCAGAAAAAAATAAAAGACAGGGCTATCATGTGGCTTACCTTGCTTGTTTCTCTTAAGGATCACAGTGCTCTGCTATTTCCAACGTCTGAAAATAGTTTCTTTTTTTTTTTCCAGTTTACTGCTCCATCATGACTGGTAATAGAAATCAGGATTCTTTTCCTAAAACAGAACTACAAACATAAAAGAAAACTAATCATTTCTTTTCAAATACCCAGTCAGTATTCAAGTTTCTTTGACTGAGAAGACAAGTTGAATAAATATCCTAGCTTGCTTTCTCTCTTCCTTAAGGTCTCTGTTCACATTTTACCTTATCAGAGTAGTTGAGCAGGTAAGAGCAAGCTCTCTTACCTCCCTCCTCTGATAAGGTGAAATGTAAACAGAGACCTAAAGGAAAAGAGAAAGCAAGCTTTGCAGACATCTGGGTGAAAAGCATTCCAGAAAGACAGATCAGTGTGTGTTAAAGGCCTGCATTCAGGAGCAAGCTGGACAAGTTCGAGGAACAGCAAAGAAATTAGTGTGGCTGCAGCAGAATAAATAAGGGGGAGATGGCAGAGATGAGGTCACAGGATAGGCAGAGTCAATCATGCAAGGCATTGGAGGCCATGGTACCGAGTTTAGATTTTGCTCTGAGTATGACTGGAAACAACTGGACAGTTCTGAGCACAGAAGTGACATCCTACAACCTCATTTTCTAATGGATCACCGGCTGCTGTGTAGAGAACAGATGATTCTAGGACAAGAGCAGAAGCAGGGAGACCAGTTAGGAGGCCACTGCAGTAATTCAGACAGGAAATAGCTGGGTTTGAGGAGGTAGTTGACGGTTATTATATTTTGGAGGTAAAATCAATAATATTTACTACTGGATTGCCTGTGGGGTGTTAAAGAAAGAGAGCAGTCGAGGAAAATTCCAAGTTTTTTAGCTCAAGTAATGGTATAATAGAGAGTTCCTCTAAGGCAGGAAAGACCAGGGGAGGAGCAGTTTGGAGAGACAGTAGATATGGAAATCAAGAGTTCGGTTTGAGATTATCTATTAGATCTCCAAGTGGAAACATCAAGTAGCAACTGGATACAGATGCTGAAGGTCAGAGAGGATGGGGCTGGACACATAAATTGGGGCATGTCAGTCTACTTAAAGTAAACTGTATGCAATGCCTCAACTGTGAATGTGGACAGATGACCCGAGGACCAAGCCCTCGGGCACAGCAATATTTCAAGGATGGGAAAATGAGAAGTATCTTACCCAGCAAAGGAGACTGAGATAAGAGAGTGGTGTCCCAGAATCCAACCAAAGTCACTGTGTCAAGACCCAGGCAGTGATCACTTATGTCGAGTGTTGCTGACAGATCAAGTAACATGCGGCCTGAGACTTGACCACTGACTTTGGATGCAAAGTTCCTGAGTAGCAAGAGGGGATGGGATCCACCAGGCAAGCAGAGGACTTGCCCTTAGCAGGAGTGTGGACACTTCATCTACTCTAACAGGAGGAAGGTGGAGTTGAGGGCACAGAGCAGGTAGCTTGGTAAATGCAGTGCTGACTACAACGTGCAAGTTTTCTGATAGTGTTGTTTCTATTTTCTCAATTTTTTTCTCCATATTTTGTAGTTATTAAGCATTGTATTATGTACCAGGCACTGTGCCAGATACTGGGGAAGCAGCTATAAAATAAGACTAATACTATCTTGTCTCTATTTTCTGGAGCTCTTTAATTATAAAATACTGCTAATAATAATAACAACTTTTAAGAGGAAGACATTGAGCACTGTGTTCACTGTGTTCTTTGTGCTGGCACACCCTAAGGTCCACAACCTGATATATTCTGCTCAGACACGGAGAGGCTTGAAATGGTAACAGGCCCTTACTGAACGAGTCCTCACATGCTACTCCCGGGCACTGCCAGGAAGGCCTTGGAGCAGCTAGAAACACAACACACAGTTCTCTTCCCCCATGACTCACGAATGCAGTCCTTTGGACAGACTGGCTATACAAACCATGACTGCCTTGCCACCAGGAGCAGCCCTAGAGCTGAACAGGACTTTAGGACCCTAACAAGTTCAAACTGGTCCCCCAGTGATGGACAGAGAGGTTGACCACTAAGAGATGAAGGGCCTTGTCCAGGTGTCCTTGCTTCTGCCCTTCCCACCCTGTGCCTCAGTAGATGCTCAGCATAGGAGCTAGAGATCCATTTAAAATGTAATCAGGTTTTGCCACTCTTTGCCTCAAAACTCTTCAGTGATATCACATTCTCCCTCAGCATGACAGTCAGTGTCACTATAAAGGCCTACAAAGCCCTCCACCTCTCTACCCCACCTCTATGCCCTCATCTCACATCACCTCCCACCTCATTCACTCTCTTTCAGCCCCACTGGCTTCCTTGCTTCAAACGGTTTCTGCCTCAGAAACTTAGCTTAGGCTGTCCCCTCTGCCTAAGATTTCTTCCCACAGGCAGCACCATGGCTCACACCCTCACTTACTCAGGTCTATGTTCAAAAGTCTCCTTCTACCAATCACAAGCACTGAAACTGAAACTGTGATTAAAAATCTTCCAACAAACAAAAGTCCAGGACCAGATGGCTTCACAGGAGAATTCTATCCAACATTTAGAGAAGAGCTAACACCTAACCTTCTCAAACTCTTCCAAAACATAGCAGAGGGAGGAACACTCCCAAACTCATTCTATAAGGCCACCGTCACCCTGATACCAAAACCAGGCAAAGATGTCACAAAGAAAGAAAACTACAAGCCAATATCACTGATAAACACAGATGCAAAAATCCTCAACAAAATACTAGCAAACAGAATCCAACAGCACATTAAAAGGATCATACACCACGATCAAGTGGGGTTTATCCCAGGAATGCAAGGATTCTTCAATGTACGTAAACCAATCAATGTGATACACCATATTAACAAACTGAAGGATAAAAACATATGATCATCTCAATAATGCAGAAAAAGCTTTTGACAAAATTCAACACAAATTTACGATAAAAACCCTCCAGAAAGTAGGCATAGAGGGAACTTACCTCAACACAATAAAGGCCATATATGACAAACCCACAGCCAACATCGTTCTCAACGGTGAAAAACTGAAACCGTTTCCTCTAAGATCAGGAACAAGACAAGGTTGCCCACACTCACCACTATTATTCAACATAGTTCTGGAAGTTTTAGCCACAGCAATCAGAGAAGAAAAAGAAATAAAAGGAAACCAAATCAGAAAAGAAGTAAAACTGTCACTGTTTGTAGATGACATGATACTATACATAGAGAATCCTAAAGATGCTACCAGAAAACTACAAGAGCTAATAAATGAATCTGGTAAAGTAGCAGGATACAAAATTAATGCACAGAAATCTCTTGCATTCCTATACACTAATGACAATAGATCTGAAAGAGAAATTAAGGAAACACTCCCATTTACCATTGCAACAAAAAGAATAAAATATCTAGGAATAAACCTACCTAAGGAGACAAAAGATGTGTATGCAGAAAACTATAAGACACTGATGAAAGAAATCAAAGATGATACAGACAGATGGAGAGATATACCATGTTCTTGGATTGGAAGAATTAACATTGTGAAAATGACTCTATCACCCAAAGCACTCTACAGATTCAATGCAATCCCTATCAAAATAACAATGGCATTTTTCACAGAACTGGAACAAAAAATTTCACAATTTGTATGGAAACACAAAAGACCCCAAATAGCCAAAGCCATCTTGAGAAAGAAAAATGGAGCTGGAGGTATCAGGCTCCCTGACTTCAGACTATACTACAAAGCTGCAGTAATCAAGACAGCATGACACAGGCACGAAAACAGAAATATAGATCAATGGAATAGGAGAGAAAGCCCAGAAATAAAACCACGCATATATGGTCACCTTATTTCTGATAAAGGATGCAAGAATATACAATGGAGAAAAGACAGTCTCTTCAATAAGTGGTGCTGGGAAAACTGGACAGCTACATGTAAAAGAATGAAATTAGAACACTCCTTAACACCATACACAAAAACAATCAAAAAATGGATTAAAGACCTAAATGTAAGGCCAGACATTATAAAACTCTTAGAGGAAAACATAGGCAGAACACTCTATGAAATAAATCACAGCAAGATCCTTTTTGACCCACCTCCTAGAGAAATGGAAATAAAAACAAAAATAAACAAATGGGACCTAATGAAACTTAAAAGCTTCTGCACAGCAAAGGAAACCATAAACAAGATGAAAAGACGACCCTGAGAATGGGAGAAAATATTTGCAAATGAAGCAACTGACAAAGGATTAATCTCCAAATTCTATAAGCAGCTCATACAGTTCAATATCCAAAAAACAAACAACCCAATCCAAAAATGGGCAGAAGACCTAAAGAGACATTTCTCCAAAGAAGATATACAGATGGCCAACAAACACATGAAAGGATGGTCAACATCACTAATCATTAGGGAAATGCAAATCAAAACTACAATGAGGTATCACCTCATTGGCAGAATGGCCATTATCAAAAAATCTACAAATAATAAATGCTGGTGAGGGTGTGGAGAAAAGGGAACACTCTTGCACTGTTGGTGGGAAAGTAAATTGATACAGCCACTATGCAGAACAGTATGGAAGTTCCTTAAAAAACTAAAAATAGAACTACCATACGACCCATCAATCCCACTACTGGGCATATACCCTGAGAAAACCATAATTCAAAAACAGTCATGTACCACAGGCTTCCCTGGTGGCGCAGTGGTTAAGAATCCACCTGCCAATGCAGGGGACACAAGTTTGAGCCCTGGTCCGGGAAGATCACACATGCCACAGAGCAACTAAGCCCGTGCGCCACAACTACTGAGCCCACGTGCCACAACTACTGACACCCGTGCACCTAGAGCCCATGCTCCTCAACAAGAGAAGCCACCATAATGAGAATCCCACATACTGCAATGAAGAAGGGCCCCTGTTCACAACTAGAGAAAGCCCATGAGCAGCAACAAAGACACAACACAGCCAATAATAAATAAATATATATTTTTTTAATTCAAAAAAAAAGGAGTCATGTACCACAATGTTCAGTGCAGCACTATTTACAATAGCCAGGACATGGAAGCAACCTAAGTGTCCATCAACAGATGAATGGATAAAGAAGATGTGGCACATATATACAATTGAATATTACTCAGCCATAAAAAGAAACAAAATTGAGTTATTTGTAGTGAGGTGGATGGACCTAGAGTCTGTCATACAGAGTGAAGTAAGTCAGAAAGAGAAAAACAAATACCATATGCTAACACATATATATGAAATCTAAAAAAAATTGGTTCTGAAGAACCTAGGGGCAGGACAAGAATAAAGATGCAGTCATAGAGAATGGACCTGAGGACACGGGGAGGGGGAAGGGTAAGCTGGGACGAAGTGAGAGAGTGGCATGGACATATATACACTACCAAATGTAAAACAGATAGCTAGTGGGAAGCAGCCGCATGGCACAGGGAGATCACCTCCATGCTTTGTGACCACCTAGAGGGGTGGGATAGGGAGGGTGGGAGGGAGGGGGACGCAAGAGAGAGTGGATATGGGGATATATGTATATGTATAGCTGATTCACTTTGTTATACAGCAGAAACTAACACAACATTATAAAGCAATTATACTCCAGTAAAGATGTTAAAAAATAAATTTTAAAAAAAGAAGAAACTGAGAATGAAAAAAAGAAAAAAGAAAAAAGTCTCCTCAAAGTGAAGACTTTTTTAAACAACCTGTTTAAAATTGCAAGTTTGTCCACCCTCACTGTCCTCCCATTCTCCCTTCTCTTTTTCTTCCTAACAGTTAATATCTCTGACAATAAATACTACACACTTTCCTTTGTTTCCAGCCTGTCTCAATTAATATTAATGTTTCTCTAATCATACAAATTGTAGTTGATTGTTTTCATCTTCTGGTAGCTCTTGCTCCATGTAGGTACCTGGTTTTCCCAAGGCCCTCTCTCAATGGCCACATAGTGTGACAATACTCTATTACTTCCCCAAACCCCTACTGGATATGTAGGTTGTTCCTCTTCTGCTGTACAATTCTGTGGAAGGGTAAAACCCAATCAGAAATATATTCTTCCTGAACTCCCGATGCTTTACTTGATTACTAGCAGAATTTTGAGAAGCTTCTAGATTGTAAATGCAGGAGATTTAAAGCAGGGGCAGAGGAGGTGGAAGCCACAAAGAGCCTAAGATCACATGCAAAGGTAGAAGAAAAACCAGGACACAGTATGAAGGAAGCCAAGAGGCACTTCCCCAGTGGCACAGTGGTTAAGACTCCATGCTCCCAATGCAGGGGGCCCGGGTTGGATCCCTGGTCAGGGAACTGGATCCCACATGCATGCCACAACTAAGAGTTCACGTGCCAGAACCAAGAAGCCAATGAGCCACAACTAAGGAGCCTGCCTGCCATAACTAAAGAGTCCACGAGCCGCAACTAAGGAGAAGATGAGCCACAACTAAGACCTGGTGCAAACAAATAAATTTTTTAAAATTAATTTTTAAAAAACTTAAAAAAAAGGAAGCCAAGAGAAGAGCGTGACTGAGGAAGGAGGGGTGAATTTGCTAGCAGGCGTGTGTGTTCTCCAGAGCTGTAAGACAACTTGCTTTGGGGAGTACCAAATGAACCAGAGATCACAGATTCTTCTGCCTGGAGAATCTCCAACATCAGTTCATACCATAGGAATATATCTTTCTTGCCTGTATCATGAGCAGCCACTCTGGGGTAGAGGAAAGAGCTTATAATACAGCTTGTGACTTGGAGAGTGTGTCTATACAGACACTCACCAGAGGACTGTGACAACATTAGTGGTTCACACAAAGCCATGGAGCTTGGAGGGCAGGAAGCCTCTTCACCACGCATGTCATTTCTCCATCTAGGAAGAGAATTATGTCATGAAGACTCTCTCAACCCAACTCTTACAGAGAACCTGGCAGTGTTTTCTTAAACAGATGCCCCAGTTGAAAGCTCAATTGATGGAGTGAGATGTAAAGGCCTAGCACAGTAGGAAAATACACTTAAAGAGAGGGAGAGAAGGAAAGAGATTGGGACTGATTATCAAGAAGCCCAGTCCTGACTGTGTCCCTTCTGCCTTGGTGGCTCTGCCTCTCTGAATTTCAGCTTTCACATGTGTAACATGTGAGGATCAAGCTGCTCGTTCACGTCACCCACCAAGGATTACAGACTCTTCGAGGGCAGTGCTAAGTCTTAGCTCCAGAATCACACATCTAGGTTTGACCAAGAATAAAACTGCAAAATCAAATGGGCTGTGTTCCTCACCTAAATCATTCTTTTGATGGTTTCCTCACTTATCTAGGTAAGATTTCCAAGTAGACTACTGCAGCTGACCTGCCAAAATTTCTCCCCGCAAGTCAGACCACGCTGCTCCTCCACTTATCACCTCTAGGAGCTAACTAGCTTAGGGTGACACATGGCCTGAAGGAGGGCCTTTCAGGATCTACTGGGCCTTCACTAAGCCTCCCTGCTGCCGACCTCCAGCCCCAACCCGAACCCCCACCAACCCGAAACCATACTAAGCCTCTTGCAGTCCCCTACAACAGCCTGTTCTCCCTCACATCCACAGCCACTATGTGGAACACCTTTCAGCCTCTGCTACCTCCTGGTTCCTCACGCCAGGTGTCTCCTCCTTCATTCAGTCAACAGATATATGTTATGCCAGGCACTCTGCTGGGTCTCATGATTGTAATACTGACTGCTCTTATCACTGTGTATCCACAAACAGTCCCCTGGACGTTTTTATTACAGCATCTGTCACCCTATAGCACTACTGTTTGTGGACACATCTGTCTCTAGCACTAGACCGAGCTTGCTGGGGAAGGGATAGCATCTTCTTGGTTGTGGTATCCCCAGAATGGTGCCTGGCACAAAGTCAGAGCTCAACACTGTCCGTTAAGTGGTAAATGAGTTCCTGACCAGTGAGAGTAAGTCTGTGCCTAGTAGACGCCATGGTGAGCGACAGCGCAGTGGAAAGAAGGTCCTGAACCGCCTGTGTGACTTTGGATAATTTACTTGCCATCTTCATACACGAGCCTGTTCATCTGTAAAGTGGAGATAATGACAGTCGGTACCTATCAAGCTGGAAGGAAGCTTTAGTGTTGGAGAAGTGTTTAGCACAGGGCCTAGCACCTAGCAGGTCCTCAACGATGGTCAGCTACTAAAATTAGAGATGGGGATGAGCTTTCTTAGAAAATGTTTGCATCTATTAATATCCTCTCCTTGCCTGGAAAACAAATGAACCCTGAATGTGTGTGAGGCCCAGATTTGTTGCAAAGGACCTGCCACTGAGATGGTGTTTGGATGTTAGGGCCTGAGGATTGAGGGTTTCTAGGGATATTCTCCCACCTGTGAGTTAACAGAACACCTATATCCTGACCCAGTGATCAGAAGTTGACCCAAAACAACAGACAAGCCTCCCAAGATGTGGTTAGGGGGCATTGGGACAGTGTAGAGAAGCCCTATGTAGAGGAAGGGGCTATGACCATTTAAGGAATGCACACAGTTAAGTCCAACAGGACTTTGAAGGGGGATCCCTTCTGAATAGCATCTGAGGCAGGAATGGGAGTGAACCACCTTTGGAACTGTCAAGCCCCATCTCAGCAGCCTGCATGCCGTTACTTAGAACCTGCCTAAATAAAGCTACTCATTTCCCTCAAGGCCTCCCAGCATTTCCCAACCTGTTCCTCTGCTAGTCATCCTCATTAATTATCAGTGACCATGCTCTCTGCGCTCCAAGCATCCCTCAGTGAAGCGGAGTTTGCCTGAAGGAGGCTCCACTGCCCAACATCCTTACTCTCTAAGCCCCTGGGCTCTATATACTCGTCTGATTGACATGCTAGAGGCAAAAGTCCAGGGGGCTCAGGTTGGATATAAAATGCTGAACTACCCTCAGCACCCTGGAAGCAGGGGACCTAATTTCACTCACTGAAGTACTTAATTTCACACATTTCTTTTTTAATTAAGCATTCCTGCTGCTCAAACCCTTGGGCCCATGCTACTTTTACTCATGGACTTGGAATAATTTAAATTAGTCTGGGTAAGTTAATATGTAAATCTAGGAAGACTGATGTGGGCATTGGACCAGCGAGGAAGTGATTTGCAATGCCCAATGAGGAGCCTCTGTATTGGTCAGAAAAGTCAGTTTACTGTAAATAATTTGCATTTCAGATTCATAGAGCTTTTAGTGCTGGAAATTAGCCCAAAGCCTCAAGAAAATCAAGGGACTTATCCAAGGTCACATACCCAGTAAGAGTGACCAAGGTAGAACTGAACCCAGGGCTTCCTGAATTAAAATAATTGATAACCTGTAATTCTCCTAGTGCTCAGCAAAAAGCAGTTCCGCTAAGACATCAGGAATTTTAATGGGGGGGCAAGGGCATAGAGGAAAGTAACAACATTTTTTCCAGCCTGTAATGGTTTTTCCAATAACATATTTTAAATATCTATTTGAACAGGCACAGATGAAAGTACATTTCATTGTTAAGGAAATTTTACTTCACTGAATTACCACAAAAATTTTCAAAGTGTAAGCTTGGGAAGTATGGCTTTGTTAAACAAAAAAAAGGGGGGAGCAAGGTGTGTGTGGTGGGGGTAGTCTTGTAAACAGACCTGCGATGTTTGGGGACACTTCCTGCTGTCCCCCTCCAATGTGATACAGACATGCAGCTCTTAGAATCTGTTTCGTCAAACAAAGCCACAACTTCTCTAAACAGCTGTGGAAGAGGCAGGAGGAACCTGGGAAGGCAGGCCATGATGTCTGATGCACGAGAGCCAGGGGAGTGCCGAGGGGCTGGCAGTGTTAACCTTTAGGGGATATGTGGTCAAAGAGCTGGAATTGTTTCACTAACCAATCAGTTACTGATTCTTTTACCATATTAACCTTCTAAGTATGCAGGTGAAGTGTAGCACGGCGTAACACAGAATGGGCTAGTTCTGAATCAAATCTTTCCTATGTCTGAGTAGCTGTGAACTCTCTGATGTTAATTAGAAAACATTCAAGAGTCTTTTTTCTTCATTATCTGCTTTCAACTCAATTCTATTTCCTGGAGAAGCAAAGAGCATAGTGGTCAAGAGCATGGGACTCTAGGAGGAGACCTTCTGGACTCAAATTTCAGATCTCCTGCCTCCTAACTGGGCACATTACAATTCATTATGTCTAAGGAAATATTAGCTGTAAAACTGGGATAATAAGAGAATGTACTTCATAGGGTTACTGCAAAGATTTGAGGGAGTTAATATGTACACATACATGTACATAATGTGTATATATTATAACAGATATAATATGTACACATAGTAGGTGCTCAAAATGTTACCAACTAATTTTTAATAATCTAAACTAATTTAATAATCAATGAAGATAAAGGGAGAGAATAGCAATATTCAATAGAAATATAAGGCAAGCCACACCATAAGCCACATATTTAATTTAAAATTTTCTAATAGCCATATTATAAAAAGAAAGATGTGAAATTAGTAATAAGAGATTTTATTTGACTCAGTATATCTAAAATATCATTTCAGATTTTAAAATGCTGAGATATTTTACATTTTTTGTAAAAAGTCTTTGAAATCTGGTGTGTATTCTACTTGTACGGCATCCCTCAATTTAACTGGCCACATTTCAATTGCTCAGTATCCACATGTGACTGGTGGCTACGATACTGGATAGTACAGGTATATAAGGATACACACCCAGTTGTTAGTCTCAGCTACCTCAGGAGGCTGGCTTAGAGGTGGGATGGGGGAAACAGCAACATCTCGTTGACTTCTACATCAACATGTAACAGTGAAGACATATGTCTTTAAAATCCAATAAGTTATAAAAGAGTAAGGAAAAGAAAAACTAATAACCCAAAACTAATGTTCACTGAAAAATTCGTAGAAATATAAAGGAAAGCATTCTAATCAGGGAGTTAGGAGAACTGGGTTCTAGGACATATGTGGGACCTTCAGAAAACCCTTTCCCATTCCTGGACCTCAGTTTCGTTATACCTAGTTTAGAACTGGATGATTCCTTATAACCTCCCAGTTCTTAAAATATATAAATGTCAGCCATTACATTTCTCCTATATTTCCTCTAAGAATCTATCAATGGATGAGAACTCTCTCCTCTCACCTGGAGATGGTTTAGCTGCAAGCAGAGAGACAGGTGACACGAATTCTTGCCGTCTGTGGGTTTCCTGACTATAAATCTGCCTTTGAAGGCATGTTTTCGTTTGCTGCTGGCTCTCAACGTTCCCAGCTCCAAAGAACCTACATTTACATCTGTACCCTGGTTCCCTTCGTGCCCCCTATGGTCACACACGCCCGGAAATGCAAAATGAGCCTCACCTTCTCACTCTCCCGCAGGAATGATTTGGTCCGAATGCAAGGAAATCTGGGAGGAGGGGCCGCGGGAGTACGTGCTGCACCTGTGGAACCTGCTGGATTTCGGAATGCTGTCCATCTTCGTGGCCTCCTTCACCGCAAGGTTCATGGCCTTCCTGAAGGCCAGCGAGGCCCAGGTGTACGTGGACCAGCACGTGCAGGACGACACGCTCCACAACGTCTCACTTCCACCAGAAGTGGCCTACTTCACCTACGGTGAGTCCAGTCGGCGGCTGTTCGGCTACGCCTTCCGCTCCGCGCGCTTCCGGGGCGTGGCCAGGGGCCGTCAGCGTGGCTTGTCCCGCAGCTGGCGGTTTGTAACATGGGTGTGGCCAACTTTGGTGGTTTCTATTGTCAAAGCAGACACCGCCCCGCCACCCTCCAAGAAAGCCCTAGTCCCTGCAATACAACCAGCTGAATAGAACGTGTAATTAGTGACTACGAGAAATGAATCGTTTTGTGTTGGAAAGGATGGATTTGTTTTGAGAAGGTTCTTGGAGCGTTTCGGGGGCGATCCTTTTATTTCTTTTCTTTTTTAAAGAAATCTCATTTCTGATGTGGATCCAGGAGCTTTTCCTTACATATTGGATCCCTGTATTTTCTGCAAAAATAAGTCTTGCTTTCCCAGTTCAAAAGTTATTTTCTCATGGCAAGATAGGTTCTTAGAAGATGGCTTAATTCTTTCAAACCACAAGGCCATACAGTGTGAGATGCTAGATTGAATTTTTAGTAATAAGAGTTAAAGCATCCATTTATCAAGGATCCTCTGGGTGTCAGGAACTGTATAGACATTTTACACCATAAACTCCAATCATTGCAACAGCCCCACAGAAAGGATTTTGTTGTTGTTGTTCCTATTTTATAGAGGAAGAAACAGGTTTTCGTGGCATGGCTTACAATGTTCCCAGAAATACATTACTGCCTTGGATAGCAAGGGATCCTGGTCCAACATGAAATGAAAACGATGCAGAATGGCATAGTGTTTATGTTCGCAGGCTTTGGAGTTAGAGAGACCTGGATTCAAATCCTATTTCTGTAGCTTACTGTAAGGACTTGTTTACTAAATTTTTCTGACCCTCTATTTTCCCATATGTAAAACTGGGATAATACATGTCAGAAAGTTTGTTTCGAGGGTTAAATAGTGCACATGAAGAATTTTGCACTGTGTTCTGAAATATTAAATGCTCACTAATAGTAACAAGTTATTATCACTACTACCTCTGGGGTCATTTTCTGGCTCAATCACTGTAGCTTCTGTACTAAAAGAAAGATGAGTGGGGAGAAGAAACAATAGATATTTGTTGTTACTGGTAAATTAGCTGGACATTTAATAGGCACTCACTAGTGGCAGGAAAGGTTTGAGTGTCAAATGTCCCTGTTAGATGGAAGATACGTGGTGTGTGTGACCACAGAATCTTCATAATCAGGTACAGCAATGATCTCCAGAAGCTTGGCCACTTAACACAAAACTTGAGTTGCTGCCCATATTCAATGTAGATTGTGTTACACAGATTATGTTACATGTAAATGTGGTAGGGAACCCCACACACACACTAAGACATGGAGAGCCTTGTAGTATTACAAATCATCCACTCTTCATTTGTTGGTTTAGCAAATCCAGACATTTTAGAAGCATGGGTTTGCATATTTTCCCCTCTATGCTGCTCAGGGTTCGTTAAGGAAAGATGAGAGAATCTTGATACTGCATTGAATACTTTTCTTAGGGCTGTGATTCAAACCACAGTATTGCTGCTATTCCTTTTCTGGAATAGAATAGGAATTTTCCTATTCCTATTGCTTCTAAAAGGACTTCTATTCCTTTTCTGGATTGTATTAAAGTCTCACCCATTAAAGTCTCACCCAACCCAAAGCTTTGCAGTTTATTGCCCTTGCATTGTGGTTCATCAGGTACCCTTGAAATCTTTTGCATCTCAAAGGGTTGGCTTGTGCCCCAGTTATGGAGGCAGAGCGCCCTCTAGTGGTCAGCCAGGCAATGGTTCCCTTCCAACCTCTACAGCACCAAGTAGGCAGGTGTTTTCCAGGTTATAATAGGGCAATTTTTCTCCTAGAAACAGCTCCAAGGGGAAGAAAATCCCTTTGTCTGAATCATCAAAGTGCTGTTTGCTTTTACACCCATCAAAATTCTTACAAGCCAATCAAAGCAGAGTACTTTTCACTAAAAGTCCTGACCGAGTCACCAGGGTTTGACAACAGCTAAATCTATCTTAATATATTGATTATAGGAATGGCTTTTATTATTACGACTGAGGTTTAAGATGATAAATTATAGGGGAGAGAAAAAAGGAATTCCTTTTGGCGTCTGTTTGAAGAATCTGAGTCCTATTTCATGTTATCCAAATGTGTTATTTATATCCATGGAGGGCAACAGATATATTGGAAAAATACATTTGTTCCCCTTACTTGTCTTTCTGAGTTTTATGACCTTGATGAGAACATAAAGTCTATAACTTTATATATTTCTGCATATAATTTAGAATGCACTACATGAGAGTCTGTGTCAAATGGAGGCCTGGCTCCCCTTACTAAAGATCTCTCACTGCTCTTCATGATTATAATTGTTTAACAGAGTCTAGCTTTGAAAATAAAGAAGAAAATTATTCTCTTCCATCTCCCTTGGGGTGCCAAGAATCCCTATGTAATATCCTTGCTATCTGCACTTACCTGGCTCTGAAAAGGACCACATACCCCAAATCCAGTCTTTAGAATGGCAGTAATAATACCTCCTCTACAGGGCTGTCGTGAAAACTGCAGCTAATATAAGTGTAGGGGCTAATTTAGGTTTCTCTATGTTTCTCAGTTTAAGTTTCACTTAGTATTTCTCAACAGGGGCACAATTGACTTGTTCAGCTGGGCAGTTCTTATGGAACAGGTCTGTCTGGAGCATTGCAGGATATTAGCCTCCCAATAAGACTCCTACCCAGTCATTGTAACAACCACAGATGCCCACACACACACTCTGCCCCAGGAGGAAGGTTCTACCCGCACTTGAAAATCACTGTATGTCTTGACACATAGAAGGCAGCTTATTAAAGAAAGCTGCTGCTCCTTGCACCATTAGAACTACAATAGAAACACTTTACAGGTTTGCTCTGCTGAAGGAATATACCCAGGGCAGCTCAGACCCTCACCAGTGACCACAAGCAGAATCTCCCCAGCACAAGACAGGTCCCAGGACTCTTGCCACCTGGAACAGGGATGTCATAGCAAACCTGGATGACTGGTCACCAGCTTTGGGGCCTTAGCTCAGTCAGGGAGCAACTCGCAGACACACACTGCCTGAGGAACCAAACCCAAGAGCATTTTCTCAGGCAAGAACCTTCAGATTCCTGGCCCCCGTGTGAGCTCATTTGTTCTGATTTATGGCTAAACTTGTGGTTAGGATTTCATTCAGCCATTTAACAAACATTTATCAGCACCTGCTGTGTGCCAGACCCTTGCCCCCAGGAACCCCTGAGTGGCCTGCAATTTGTTTTCCAGCTAAGCACTTTACATAAATGATTTCATTTCATCTTCACCACATTGATATTATCCCCAATTTGCAGATGGGGAAAATGAGGCTTAAAAAGTTAATTGGACAGCCTCTTCAATAAGTGGTGCTGGGAAAACTGGACAGCTACATGTAAAAGGATGAAATTAGAACATTCTCTAACACCACACACAAAAATAAACTCAAAATGGATTAAAGACCGAAATGTAAGGCCAGACACTATAAAACTCTTAGAGGAAAACATAGGCAGAACACTCTTTGACATAAATCGCAGTAATCTTTTTTGATACACCTCCTAGAGTAATGAAAATAAAAACAAAAATAAACAAATGGGACCTAATTAAACTTAAAAGCTTCTGCACAGCAAAGGAAACCATCAACAAAACAAAAAGACAACCCACAGAATGGGAGAAAATATTTGCAAATGATGCAACCAACAAGGGATTAATCTCCAAAATATATAATACAAACAGCTCATGCAGCTCAATATCAAAAAAACAAACAACCCAATCAAAAAATGGGCAGAAGATCTAAATAGACAGTTCTCCAAAAAAGACACACAGATGGCCAAAAAGCACATGAAAAGATGTTCAACATCACTAATTATAAGAGAAATGCAAACCAAAACCACAATGAGGTATCACCTCACATGGGTCGGAATGGCCATCATCAAAAAGTCTACAAATAATAAATGCTAGAGAGAGTATGGAGAAAAAGGAACCCTCCTGTTGGTGGGAATGTAAACTGATACAGCCACTATGGAGAACAGTATGGAGTTTCCTTAAAAAACTTAAAATAGAACTACTACATGATCCAGCAATCCCAATCCAAAATATATCCAGAGAAAACCATAATTTGAAATGATATATGCACCCAAATGTTCATTGCAGCACTATTTACAATAGCCAAGACATGGAAGCCACCTAAAAGTCCATGAACAGAGGAATGGATAAAGAAGTGTGGTATATATAGATAGATAGTTAGATAGATAGATAGATAGACACAATGGAATATTACTCAGCAATAAAAAAGAATGAAATAATGTCACTTGCAGCAACATGGATGGACCTAGAGATTATCATACTAAGTGAAGTAAGTCAGACAGAGAAAGACAAATATCATATAACACTTATATGTGGAATCTAATTTTTTAAAAAGATACAAATGAACTTATGTATGAAACAGAAGCAGACTTACAGATATCAAAAGCAAACTTATGGTTTCCAAAGGGGAAATGTGGAGGGGAGGTACAAATCAGGAGCTTGGGATGAACATACACATACTACTATTTATAAGATAGATGATTGACGGGGACCTACAGTATAGCACAGGGAACTCTACCCTGTGATAACCTATATGAGAAAAGAACCTAAAACAGAATGAATATCTGTATATGTATAACTACATGAATCACTTGGCTATATACCTGAAACTAACACAACACTGTAAATCAACTATAGTCCAATAAAATTAAAATATTAAAAATTTTCTAAATGACAATAAAAGATTTTAAAAGCAAAACAAAAAGGTTTATTGACTTGCCGAGAGTCATATTTTACATACAGCCACTGCATAGAAAGGCCACTTTCGACCTCAGGTCTGTCTGACTCTAAGTCTGTGTGCCTCCCCACCACCTCCTTGTGAATGGGACAGCCCCTGCTTGCGGAGCTCAAACACTGGGAAGGAAGACAGGATAGCAAGCAGCATGGCGAGTGCATGACAAGAGGGCACACAGGATACTGTGGGAGCAGCAACGGGTACAGGGAGGCTGCCCCAGCCTGTGCAGGGCACAGAAGGCTTCCTGAAAGAGATGACACCTGAGCAGAGTCTTGAAGGGTGACTGGGATTGAAGTGAGGGGAGAGTGTTCCAGGCAGATGGGCCAGCATGTTCCAAGAGGGAGGGTGGCACCTTCAATGTATTAGGATTAATGTAAAGACAAGGGCAGGAATGGCAAGGGATGAGGTTAGAGGCCTCTGAAGATGCCTAACTGGTTTCTCTTCCAGAGCAGATTCTGTTGCCCAGTGAGTAACCCAGATCGTTTTCTTTTAGCCAGGGACAAGTGGTGGCCTTCAGACCCTCAGATCATATCGGAAGGGCTGTATGCGATAGCTGTCGTGCTGAGCTTCTCTCGAATCGCGTACATCCTGCCAGCCAACGAGAGCTTTGGGCCCCTGCAGATCTCCCTGGGGAGAACTGTGAAAGATATCTTCAAGTTCATGGTCATTTTCATCATGGTATTTGTGGCCTTCATGATTGGGATGTTCAATCTGTACTCCTACTACCGAGGTGCAAAGTACAACCCAGCGTTTACAACGTGAGTACCCCCTTTGCTCTCTCCTGAGGGGCTCTGCGGGCTTCCCAGGGATCCTTGGCAGCCTCTTGCAAGTGTCTCCTCATGGAGGCTCGGGTTTCCTTGGCATTTCTAAAGCTTAAAGGCAACTTTATTCAAGGGTGGTTTCGAGTTCAGGTTCTGGAGTTGGAAAACCAGAAGAGCTGGGTTTAATCCTCACTTTGCCACTTACATGCTGTGTGGCCATGAGCATGTTCCTTAACTTCTCTGAGTCTTAGTTTCCTCAACTTTAAAATGAGGCAACTAATAATACGTGCTTAATAGGGACAGTGTGAGGATTCAATGAGCTGATTTAGCTGCCACACAGTAAATTAAATAAATGGAAGGAATTATTACTGTTATGATTGTCTTAGCTATGTTACCTAGAAAACAAAGCCCTGGGCAGGTGTTGCATGCCAATATTTCACTGGAGAGAGGGAGTTGTAATCCAAATGAAATAAGATCAAAGGAAAAAAGGAAATGGCGTGTGTGGGGGGAGGGAAAGCACATAGAGGTTGCTGACCTGGCCACCGTCTACCAAGGCATACAACTTGGTCACCACAGACTTCTACGGTGAGACATATAGTACTACGTCTCAGAATAGCCCATCAGGATAGAATTAGATAATTTATCAGCCAGACCTTCTCCATCTGCTGTCTTTTGTCTTTCATTACTCAGATTCACTCCACAGAACATTAGTGTACCTACACTTCTAGGTCCGCCCCCGGGGAAGCCATATCTGCACAGCATGGGAGGTAGGTCTGCCTGTGGGCACAGGTCAGCAGCTCTCCGTGCCTGGCTGGGCAAACCAGTGCTGTGCACGGGCACCGAGCAAGTCCTGCAGGACCACGTGCCTCAGAAGCAGTAGGGAAGGCCCAGGCGAGGGAGGCTAGAGGCACGCGGTGTGACCGAGTGACAAGGCACTGTCAGGCCGACTGACTCCGGGGTCCCGAAGGAGCTGCCGCCTCCCTCACGGGGTGGTGTCGGAGCTCGCTGAGCCTACGTCCACAAAGACCCAGAGCTCCCCCCCCTCTGGGGGATGCTAGGGGGTCTCCTGGAGGGCCATCAGGAGCCGTGAGCAGTGGTCCAGTAGAAGGATCTGGCAAATCTGAGTTTACACTGGCACAGGCATTTCATAGCTAATGACCCTAAGCCAACAAGTCGCCTTGGCAACTCCTAAAATGGGAGGTGAAGCTGTGAATAGGATTTGATTGATCTGAGCCTCCGTGGCCTCATCAGCAAGATGGAAACAAGACTTCCCACCCTTGTTCATAAATACCTTCATACATAAACGAAGGGATTCTGGAAAGTGCCTGAAGCTCAGACGCGTTCCAGTCCAGGTCCTGCCCCAGGCTCACCTGGTCCCAGAACTGCTCCCTGCCTTCATCAGGCTCCGGCCCAGAGTCTCGAGGGAAGGACAGTCAGGTCTCCAGCCACAAGCATGGCAGCTGGAACCCACAGGGCTAAGCACTTGCGGACACTGGTCCCCAAGAACCCCTGAGCGGCCTGGAATTTATTTTCCAGCCAGTGACAGTGGCGGAGCCGTACCATGCAGGCTCCTTGAGCAGGTCTCACCTTGCAAGGGGCCTCCACTTGACCCTTCTTCCAGAGAAATCACCCTTCAAGGGACGGTCCATGACTCGAAAAACCCAGACCAGGTGCGATGGACCCTGTGCCCCTCAGCTCAGAATCGTGGACAGCGTTGCCCTGCCCGAGGAGAACTGCCCAGAAGGGTGGGCCTCTGATGCTGCTGAAGCACAAAAGCTGTTACTCGCGGAGGCAAAGAAGTAGTTTGTGTTCACAGAGAACAGGTGCCTGGCCAGCGCTGAGAAATGCACCCGAGGGGTGCCTAGCTCTGTGTCTCAGCACACCACACACCCCTGGCTCAGACAGACTAGGTTTCAGTCTGAGCTCTCCTCTTACTGGCTGTGTGACCTCGGGCAAGTGTTTAAGCCCCCTGGGCATTCATGTCCCCAGCTCTGAAGTGAGAATACCAAGATGGCCAGCTTCACAGGATTGTCGTAAGGATCCAAAAGGAAGAAATCAGATTGAATATAGTGCTTGGCATATAATAAGCCTTCAATGAATAATAGCGATCATAATGGGAATGATGAGTAATAAGGAGGAGGGGGCAGGATGAGCTGTAAGAAAGGACACCTGGGGACCGACTGGCTCTATAGGACCTTTCTGGACAGGGACCTAGCCTACCAACGGTCCACCAGATCAGGCCAAGTGCGTGAGTGGATCAGTTGGACTACTTTATAGCACTCCAACACTCAGTGATTAACTGTTGAAGGAATGAAATAAGCTTGAATCACCCCAAAGCAAATTTGCTCTGGATCTGCTAGAGGCAAAGCTAACTGTACACACTCAGTGTGGGATGCATCGTTTATTGATGTCAAGATGTCAGTCAATACACAAAGACTCTCACCCTCCGTGGTAAGCCCTGATGTCCCTCCTGTGTTTCCAGTCTAGCACGATGTCTTGTACGTAGCATTGCTCACTAAATGCTTCGTAAAGAAGAATGAGGGAATCAACAGGAGAAAGGAAGCCAGATTCGAGGCAGTAGGATAAGCAGTTGACTAGGAATCTGACCATGAGGACCTCTGTCCCATTTCTCCTGCCCTGGGTGTTCTGTGCAATTCCCCTTTGCTCCCCCTACAAGGAGGCTGCACTGTCAGCCCACAGTCCCTCCGAAAGTTGGTAGCGCGACACATGAAAAATGAAAAAGGTCATGACTTAAGAGCAGGGCTGTCCAGGCCACAGATCTCAGCTGGACACAGCACAGCCAATCTATAAAGGGAGTCTCTGGGATCAGGAAAAGTCATGGGGAAAGGTAACAGCAGGAGGAAGGGCCAAAGCAATTGGCTTGTCCCATTGCTGGGAACTGAATGGAGCTTTCTAGATGTGAGAAAGCCAACCAAAGAGGATTCAGGCTCTCCAGGATGGGCAAGGGAGAGAAAAAGGCGAAAGCAAGCACAGTAAAGAAAGGACAGGATATTTATCGCCTTGGCAACTCCTAAAATGGGATGTGAAGCTGTGAATAGGATTTGATTGAACAGGAAAACAGTCAACAGAGTGGTGAAGTGGAGAGGAAAGAATGGATTTTTGTAAATGTCATCTCTTACCTTTTGACTGCTCTCTGGAGCGTATCACCCCCCACCCCCAGCCCCCAGAGATCTTCTCTGATAAGCAAAAAGCCACAGGAGGATAAAGGCTGCTCGTGCTTGAGGGGGACGCAGAGCTATTCTGAGCTCCAGCAATGTTGATGATGAAGTCCAGTGACTCCCTTGGTGAATGCTTCATAACAGCCCACACCCGGGCCACCCTGCCCAGCTCCGGATCATCCCTTTTGCCCACCCCCAGGGCGCCCTCTGTCTGTGTGTGGAATTTAGAGCTCTAGGGTAAGATGGTCCTCTCAGCTGCTTCTATCGAGTCAGAAGACTCAACGCTGCAGAAAGGAAATTTGGGCTGGAGCACACTGTGGGTACTCTTCCCCTATCTTGGCCCCCCTCAACCCCACCCCAGCCATGTTCAAGGACAGCTTGGGTCCCTAAGGGAGTCCACTTTGAAAGTCAGCTGTTAGGAACCAACAGACAGCTAGCTGTCTCACAAGAGCCCTGTTCACCTAGGGGTGTGGGCCCAGGCCAGCTCACAAAAGCCAGTCCCACCCGAATCCCACTGAGTTATAGTCCTGTCCCAGATGGAAGGGGGAGAGACAACCTGGGACAAAAGGAAAGAGAAGAAGAAAGGTTTCTCCACCAGCAACAGACCCACAGCCCTCAGCCAGGCCCCGCCCTAACCTCCAGTGTGTTCCAGTTCCGGAATCACCATACCTCCCTCCCCACCCCCAAATTCCCATCCCGTCCATCTGGCAGACCTCAGTGAGGGGAGGTAGAGGAAAACAGACAGACTGAACTGATTCTGCCCAAGGTATGAATAAACACACGGTGTGAACAGTCTTCATTGAGACCAGCGTTACGCAGGCCACACCGGAATCATCCAGGGAGATGGCTAAACCTGAGTCTTCCCGGACCCCACCCCTGAGAGAGCCTAGTTACCTCCTTTCCAGGTAGGCCTAGAAGTCAGCACAAACAATCCACTGGGGGATTCCGATATAGGTGGTCTTAGGACCACACAGGGAGAAATGCTGACCTGACTCTACCTCATCATTACTCAGATGGGGAGACAGACCACGCTCAGCTCTGCGCACTGAAAAACAAAAAGAGCTTGTTAACCTAAGTGAGTGTGTTATTGATAGGATTTCAAGCTCTGTGCAGTCAGAATACGTAGCCAGATTCCAGCGGAGAGCATGGTCTGCCGTCACATCCTAGGAGCAGTTAGGAGGCAACTTTCCAGCCTCCTCTCCCTTCAGAACCAAAGGTCTGGTTATGTTTCACAGCTGCTTCAGTGTCGGGGGCTGGCGTGAAGGGAGGAGCAGGAAAAGGGGCACGTGTGCGCACGGGTTATTGGGTGGTGAGCTGGGCCTGCCTGCGCGTGACAGATGGGCACCAGCTGGCAGCTCACTGTCTCTAAGTCACTTCTGTTAGAAACTGCAAAATGACCAGAGGTGAGGAGGAGAAGGTGTGCAGACCAGTTTTATGCTCCCAGAGTATAAAATCTAAGTGTCCTGAGACGGGGGTAAGGAAGTGGAGGTGAAATCACCTAAAAATGCATTTTCTTTCAAAGAGTCTTAAAGTTCTCAATTCCAACTGTTAGAAATTTTGTTCTTATTGGGAACATACTTTTGATTTTTATCATGGAAGTCAGTAGACAAATAGGATTTGCTTTTTGCAGTTTTGTTGTGCAGCCACCTTTGCTGGAATGCACATGTTCCATAGGCAAAGGCTTTCTGCTTAGAGATCATATGGAACCTTGGGGTCCAGCACTCTAGTTTCAGTGTTGGAAAAACAGAGACAAAAATCCTTGGCTCACTAATGAAATACAGCTGGGTGAGAATGTGTAGGAAAAGGGTGGCCTTCCCT